GATTATATTTTGGTCTGGAGGCAGTTTTATAAGCTGGAGTATGGAGGGAAGCAATCTTGAGAAGGATAGAATAAGATCTCATGTCATTAAAATTAATGGTGAAAAAAGTTCAGTTTTTCAAGGTATTTCAGAAGCACAGAGATACTGATAATTTGATAAATGATTTAATTCGCGATCAAGGGAATACCTTGAGGGACCCTAAAAGCCTTTGCAATCATGTCAATTCCTTTTACACAAAGCTGTATTCTAGTGAAGGCGTTGATCAAGAGGCTTTTAATATAATATTTGGGAATAAGTGGGAAGGTAGAAATTTAACCCTCAAGGCCAAAGCAATCGTCATTAACAGTTACGTGGGAGCTGGTTTACCCTATTACGGTGCTGTTCTTCATTATCCAGGATGATTATGGAAATAAGATGGACAGGATGAAATGGGCCTTTTCTGGGATGGGAAGCTGGGTCAAATCAAACGTGATACACTCTGTGGTCCAAACCCAAAAGGGGGATGGAAATTATGAGTGTTAAAGTTAAGCTTCGCTCCTTGAGGCTCAAGATTCTTCAAAGGTTGCGCACCGGTTCTGGGAAATGGAAAGGTTTCTTCGAATACTGTCTTTTTAATGCCAGTTGACCAAATCATCTTGGTTGGTATTTTTGTTGTAATCCTCGTGCGGTAGTCACCAGTTGCCAATTTTTCTACAAACAGCTTGTGGAAGCTTTTCAGTTTGCAAAAGGGGAAGTTCGCAGCACTTTTTCTTGTTTGAATGAAGTTAGTAAACTCAATTTATGGAAGAATAATATCATCACGGGGCGCACTGACGCTGTCAATGACAGCAAAGTGCCTAAGTCTCACGGTATTTTAATAAGGAAAATGACCGCGCGAATGTCAAAACTATGTACGAAAGCCTAAATATGAAGATTTTTGGACCCCCAAAGTGCGAAATGTTTGGGAAGAGTATTTCACCGCTGATACAGAATCTTGCCAACCAAGGACAAGTTGAAGCTCTGGTTAATGCAAAGAAGCCATTTGTACATTATGTAAAAATGAATGCAAAAATTTGGAGCACATAGATGCCTGGCTTTTTGTCGAGTAAATCATTCGAGCTTATACTTAAGATTTGACCTTTTGTTTAAATGACCTTGTGAGAATCTTGGGAACTGGACTAGATAACAGTTTGTACATATTTTTAATAGGCCGTCTTCAAATAATAATTTGGACTAGATGTAAAAGGTGTTTAGGAAGAATTTGTTTGTTGTAATATTTTGCAAAACTACAAGACTAGTTTGAAGAAACCTGTCAACATGTGTTTGGAAAAGAAAAAAATAGACAGTGATACGTTTCGTGGCATACATGGTAAAAATGCTGCCCTCTGTTTAGTAGGAGAGGATAACCTCAAATTCTGTGTCTAAGTTTAAGAAATTATCGTAAGGTTATCAATTTCAACTAATTTTCATTGTCTTCAAAAATAATTAGAACTTTTAAAACCTGTAATGTAGATTTTGTGTTTGTTTTTTGTTGGTCAGTGAGAATAAAACAGCTGTTAGAGCTCCACTTTAACGAGAAAAAATAAATAAGTAAACATATGAACAGACAGACAGACAGTAATCAAATTTAAAAGCAGGGGCGCCTTGTGCCATCTTCCAACATTGTACACAGTTTTCCTCTTTTTTTTGCTTCGATTTTGTCAAAATCTTTGAAAATGAATCTGCCCTTAGGAAGCATTGTTTAGGCGCTGGTGATAAAACGTCCCTCAAAAATTCTTGCTCGGCTGAAGTAAAAAAAGCAAAAAGATTTTAAAAATTAGTCAACTAGAAGCACTGGTTTCAACCCTAGGAACCGGGCTTCTTCGGCCCATCCCACCGCTAGGGGAGGTGGACTCTGGTCCCTAAGAACTGGACTGTCACATGATCCATCCTTGAACTTGACATGCATACAAAGACACTCGTTGTGCGTTTATACACGTCTGAAATTTAAATTCAGTCTAACTAACACATGGTTTTTGTTTTTAAAACTATCAGAGATTCATGTCCAAGGTGTGTCGGTCACGTGAATTGAGCTGGGTACGTCACTAGGGAAAACGTAAAGGTTTTCTCTTATTCATTTCAGAATATTGGTGTTTGGCTAGAACAAAATTTTTATCTTGCAACTGAACTGATCTCAAAATGACTGGAAGCTAGTCTCGTGGGCTGGGTGTGGAAATGCAGTTCACTGAGACGATATCGTATTAGTGCAATCTGATATCGTCTTCAGTAATTGGCATGTCATTCAAAGTGGAATTATTCTACCAGAGCTTTACCTTTGTCTGCGTAGGCGATCTTAACACACTTGCCGTCCTCTCCTTGGTACGTCCAGCCGTGAAACGGACATTCTATACACTCCCCGGTCACTTTCCCCCCAACTGCCAGGTTAGCGCCCAGGTGAGGGCAGTAGGCATCTATGATGTAAGCCCGGCCACTCTCCCCACGAAACACAGCCAGATTCAAACCTGACAACAGTCAGAAACGTACCTTGAAATTGCAATTAGGCCTATATTCTTATTATGCGCTCTTTGAATGACAGTATAGGGCAGCACGTATATGTTTCTAACACCGTTGTACCCATTCTGTTACATTATTATGCTTTGTAGCTACTCTGAGCTCATCTTAAAGTCTGTCCCAAATTTAGTTTACGAGAGACGGCATTTCAAGCACCAGAATCTCTGGAATTCATGTTGTACATTCTTGCTTGGTTTTTAAGGCAGTATGGTCATTGCCAGTGAATGCTATCGGTGGTGCCGGCGCTAAGGCTTCATGGACTTGTAAGCTGTGTGCTCCTGGTTTGTGAGCATTCAGTTAAAGCCTGACAGTCAAGCTACGAGAACGGCAAAAATCGCACCTGCACTACGTCCCACCCCCTGCTGCGCTGTCACAAACAGGCCACATTAACCACTTTCATCTCTGAACCTTTATTCTATAACTGATTTGAAATTCAAGAATGTAATTTTTACCCAGCATGTGAACGTATTTCGTCTCCATTTTCTTCAGCGACGCTGAGGTACAGGCAATGAACCAACCGTTGGGATACACAGGTGGCATGTCTTCGATTTTCCGCGATCGCTTCATCGCTGCAATGGCATCTTCCCTGTTTATCCCTGCCTGCCCTTTTTCTATGAAGTATGAATCTCTTCCCTCATCGCCGTAGATTACGAGCGGGCTGTAGATGAACACGTAAACGGCCCTCGTCAAGTATGCCAATCCAGCGAGAAGGCCGTGCGTCACGCAGAATTCCAGAAAGAGAACTCTGCTGTCGTTGGGCAAATGCGCCGCCACCGCGTCACTCCAAAAAAGAGCGACGGACAAAGCGGCAGGAACGACTAGATACACGAGGATCGCTGTTTTGCCCATAGCTGGAAATGTCTTGAATCAAGCAACGAACCTGAATTTTAATAACGAAGGCTTTGTCAAAGTACAGATAACTGACGCCGAACGCTCATAACGGTCCTTTCTGTAGTTACGAATCGGTGGAGGTTAGACTAGACCGGATGACGTATGCAGATATCTTTAACCTTTATATTTGCTGTTTGAAGAGCAATACATTTCGCGTAACCACATTTGACTTACGAGCTGCTGCAACAGAAGTTGCATAAGGAGCGTAACTTGGTGCATTGCTCAGGGACCAGCCGGAGTACATACACCAATGGACCCTAAAAGCAAAGCTACTTATGGTTAAACCCATAGGCTGTGTGCAGTTTCAATTTTCGAATTCAGACGTCCGCTCGTGTCCCCCTTAGTTGCACCACTGACAGTGAACTTCAGATTTAAATTTGCCATACATACGTTATCATCAACAGTGAATCGAATACGGGGATGAAAATTCAGTTGGATGTCCATGAACATAATTTAGTCGCATTCATGAGAACTCCACTCGATTTTGAAGGGCCAAAATCCAGAACAAAGAACATGACCTTAGAAGGCGCGGGGCGGTTGATTGTGGCAAGAACTATTTGCTCGAAGCCGGCTGAAACTAGTTCCCGGTTTGAAACGCATATAGGTTATCAGTCAAAAACAGCCACTAGCTGAAAAGTTATCAGCGATAGAACTTTAAACCCTCATTTTAAGTTCATCTTAAAGTTCTATGTAGGCATAGGTGAAGAAGATGGATACTTTATTAACTTAGATAAATGTAGGTATAGTGTGTAACATAAAACGATGAGAGGAAATGTGAACCATTGTTTCTTTTTTAGACAAAATTTGTAGCGGCTGGAGGAAGCGCACTGGACTGCCCTCTTTTCGTTTTAGTTTTGATCCTGCGAACATTAAGATAATAAGAGCCACTTGTTGAGTTGAAAGTTTACGTTTGCGTTGTCACGAGCGTCTCCCTGGGTGTTATGGGAACAACACCAAAGGGAAAAATGGCATTTGGGCACATTTGTCTCGGGAACAAAAAAAAAGTCTCAGATGATGTCACACCAGACTTTAGAAAATGGTTCCAGATTACATTATTAAAAAAAAACAAAATTAAGACAAAATGATTTGTTTGTGCGAAAACATTAGTTGCCATTTTGAAAGAGTGACAAAATGGATCGGTCTGGTGCTGCTGGAACAGCATGTGCTATCCAGTATTAAATNAAGTCGGGTTACCCACACATGTAAACAACGTAACGTGCATCCTGAGAATCATGTTATCACTGATCTTTGGTGGCAGATTTTTTCGAAGGGTTTGTAGCAAACATAGTAGTCCAAATGTGCCACGAGTGATTTGATAAGCACCACATATCATTAGCAGGTTCAGGATTGTTAATTGAGTTGATACTTCTTTCTATGGCCTTCTTACGCTGAGTAATCTGGTAATATTAAGTTTATACTTCTCAGCTAAAACTGATTTGCCGGCAGAGGTTGTTTCTGGTTAAATTTGTTAAGTACAGCATGCTGAATGTACGTGTATTTGTTTAGTGAGTTTAAGGAGTGTAACTTAAAGTCTTTTTCGGCCTCACTTTGTGCGCGTTTTCAGGTCATGTTGCTTATTTCCACTGAAAGTGTGATCATAGTTTTACTTTTATTCATTATGCAGTACAGACAGTAATGCTACACTCTGCCTCCATTTTTTTTAAATCTCATATCTCGGTTGCAGAAATGCCAAAAAGGCATGAATATAGGACAGATTTTTTCAGTGTTGTTAGCACCCTTATTATCAACTTCTACAGTTAAGGAAATTGGCTTGTGTTGCAACAACAAATGAAACAAACCTTCACTTACAGAATGTTGGGGGGATGGTAATAGTGGTATAATAGTACTGGGGGAAAAATCCAGAACGAAGAAATCTGATCCCGGAAGGTAGTTGACTGTGGCAAAACCTATTTGCTCAACTAGCTGAGAGGTTATCAGCGATTAAACTTTACCCACATTTCAAGTTCATCTTAAAATTCTATGTTGGCAAAGGTGAAGAGGATAATTTATAAATAGCTATACTGTGTGAGATAATATGACGAGTTGGAATGTACCATTGTTTCAGTATTAGGTAAAATTTATCGCGGCTTGAAGAAACGCATATGAAGCTCTTCTTTTATTTTAGTTTTGATCCTGCGAACGTACACCAAGTTAGTAAGAGCCACTAGTTAAGTGAAAATGAAAATTTTACATTCAACACATTTCCACTATGCATCGTTAATGGTTGTGGAACGTTTGTGCCCTTAAGCGAGTCTTCCTGAGCGTCATGGTAACAATGTCATAGGAAAAATTAGCATTTGAGCACATCTCTCTCTGGTAAAAAAAGAAAAGAACAAAAATCTCCAGAGGATGTCATATCAGACTTCAAAAAATGATTCTAGATTAGATTTCGAGCGGTCGTAAGGTGAAATACTAATTAAGTCTCAAACGAAAACAATGCACCGTGACGATGTGGGGAAATGTCGAAGAGTGGGGACAGATTCCGCCCCAGCTCTTTCAGGAATAAGACATTGCTCGAGTGTGCTTGTCAGCTTGTGCCTTGGAGTGCTCGAAAAGCTACAGAAGCGTTTGTACAGTGCCCTGGAGATAGTCCAGGGTCCAAGCACACGAACCAGTGCGCACAAACCAGAATACTGTGCCGTGTAATGTCGCGAATAGTCGAGTCATTTGCTGCTGTAGACGTACATTGGAGTACGTGTACTTGCGTTCTGCGTACGTGCAGTGTGAACCTGTCTGTTTGTGAGTCACCTTCGGACCCAACATACCAGCAATCAACTGATCAATTGGCATGATGACTTTATAACACACAACTATACTCCAACACAAACCTTATCTGTGAGCCCCGAGAATGACTAATGCGTCAGCGGTTGGATAGGGAATGGGTGCCGATGCCGAGCTAGCTGGGCAGTGATCTGCTCAGGCGATGATCCCACTACAACTAGGGTACGACCTCACCTTGAGGAGAAGCACCCCCTAGCTCCCCCATCGATTGAAAAGAGCCTGGCCGATGGAAAGTGTTTATTTTCGTGGTAATGAAGCGCACGCAGCACGTGCATTTCATACTTGTTCGTGTAGCGACGAAGTGCAATTCCCACCAAAGTTCCCACCAACAATTCCCACCTCCTTTGCTATAATTGCACCCTCTCGTGGTCGCACCAGGTCTCATTGCCTTTTAAAACACTTCATTTGTTTGTGGCCACCATTCCATTCATTCCATTTCGACATCATCAAAACACAATCAGCACCTTTTGGGGACGAGGGCGGTTGAACGATGCCCTTGTGTAGCCTGTTGATAAATCCATTTGAGGATGGCACTCCTTGCATTCAAATCGCTATGCATAATTAATTTACAGCTCACAGGGTCGACGACCAGCATAGCAAGTGTCTAATTGAGTTTACAAATCACATTTGTAATGATAAAGATTGTCTGCCAAATATTAAAGGAAACAAAGCACAAAAGTCATGCGTGGCGTAGCCGGTGGGTGGGGGGAGGTAGTTACTCCCACAGAGTGGGGCATACCCAAGGGAAAAGCCTAAAGTTTCCATAGCCTAAATGTGCTGTGAGTTCTGGCTCAGCCATTTCCAAATGCATTCATTATGTATAACGGGTTTGCCCTTGACCAACGTATATTAATAAGCACTGTGTGCTCAAAAAAAAATTCTTGAATGCATTTATTATGCATATACTCTCTTCGATTCGTTCAGGACTAATTGAAACTAACTGCACTGTAGGATCTCCTTTCCAATCCCTTCAATTGAAGGGTTTGAAGGGAGAGAATGGTCTTGTTGAGAGTTTAAAATGTGAAAGGGTTTGGGGAGAAAAGTGCATTTTATATCACCAACGGCATTACCACAACTAAGCATTCTTCGCCACAAAGTGTAAAAGTAAGACGTGTACGATGCAAACGAACCATCCACGTTAGCGGGTTGTGGCATTGATTTTACTTTGATTTTATCCTGGTAGGCTGACCCCTCTTGTTTGGTCAATTATGATTTCTCTTGGACAAAACAGAAGGGACAAATGAAAGCCTTTCGTACTGGCGAGTGTAATTTTTCTTCTTGTCAAGTTTGTTTTACGTTATAGAAGTAAGTATAAAGTGAAACTCCTGCCGGACTAAATTTTTAGTCTTGCTAAAACTCACTTCACCGCGTTATCAGCTTGGTCTCGTTTCCTAAGGTTATACACTTGTGATGACTTCTTAGTTGAGTTGTAGATCGACCCATTGCGATCTAATCCTAGGTTGGGAGATTTACATGGCAAGGTTCACCCGATGCAACTACCCACCGCTACTTATAGGTGAGCCTTGTGCAGCAAAATAGCCTGCGAGAACTCTGACGCAAATGCATTATCGTATGATGCACTTCAGTGGCACACGTATAATTGAGGCTAGTCAGGAGGTTTCAAGATACATTTTAAGTCTGTACATGTAACTACAGGCTCGTCATGTAGAAACGCATGCCCTATTTGTCAGCTATTCAGATCTGTGCCACAAAATAATTATTAGCTGTTTTGGCAACTTTGTTCTTCTGATTATTATTATTGTCGTATTATCCGGCCGGGCTGCCGGATAGG